AATTTTTAACCATGACGCAATTGTCAACATGGTTGCGGTGCTCAATTTCTAATATGTTACGAGAACATTGCCGAAACTGACTCTCAGTTTGCATATCAGTCGGGTCATTGTGACGAATGATGAGACAAGACTCATAATAGTTGCGATGGTGAACATCTGTACAGAAGCAGAGATCCGCCACCTTTCGCTGTGAATTGCATCAGATGCACCTGATTTAAGCAATGAAATTCTGAAACATATAGTGGGCTAACTAACCATCACATAGAAGCCAAAATTCCAGATGTGCTGACATAGAGTACGTGACCTGGACAAACTGCTGCACCGGTCAGTCAGGCTGTGTTTTGTATGATTCGCACCAGATCTTATTAGAACAAACCGTTTTTCAAATAGATCAGATGCCGTTATTGCATTTCGCACCTAAATAGTCTACCTACTTTACTTAAAACCTTTGTTTGTTCTGACCCATAATTTTAGTGGACGAACCTGCGGCTACCAAGACTTTGCTGGTTACAAGGACTGGATGGTTCCGTAATCCCTGTCGATGAGCTAGCTAATAGAGAGGTAAGCGGAGCCAGTGTCCAGATACGAGGTCGCGCACAGGCTTACCGCGGAGCACACGAGCTGTCTGCTACATGCGAAGGTCAAGAGCACGAGCGTGGAATGACCGATTGTTTTGTCAAACTTGGGAATCGGGTGCAAACTGAGTGGCCAGCAAATACAAGCCCGAGTCAGCAGAGGCTGATCATTCTGCCAAATATGGAAAATCCGTGGGACGGAATTAACTCACATTGGCTCAGAGCCAAACGCTTCCAAAATTGGTAAGTTCCGTTCACCAGTACATAGAACTGACATATCGTGTAGAATAGACTCCCTGTTTACCGAGTCTTGGCCTTCAATATCCCATCGGTTGATTGGGCGCGTGACTGAGCAATCAGGCTGTAGTAGTCTCGCAGGCGCAGAATAGCAGCAGTGCACCAGTACGAGGGCAGCTTTAAAACACTAGCCACCCCGGGAGGCAGAATAACAAGCCTCTTCCTTAAATATCCACCAATGCATTTTCTGCTGATCTTTACAAATTGGTTCTTATATGTACAGCCAGTAACCTCACATGTGGAACATTGAGTTACAGCCTCTTTAGTAAACAGGCGCTCAAGTCAATCAGGATAAAGTTTTCCGGTTACTGATGTGGTGCGATTTGACTAACAGGGTATGATCACTTTCAGTTATCGATCTAGATAAGGTATATATTGTTGCGTGGTGACCCGCTGGGGGCATGAAACGTGCCTACTTTACCTTCGCTTTCAATGGTCACATCACCTGGCTCATGCCGGCATACAAACGGCTTTCATCCAGCCTACAGTATTGAGTCTCTATCGATACAGGTCATCGCGTCTTGTTGACCTCGGATGTAACCAAACTGATGTTAATGATGGCATTCAAAGTTGATTTCACTCATTCACTTATTGTCAAAGAGTGACGGGTTTGCGGAGAGGCAGCTGCAAATCGGAGAGAAGCATTTTTGCTATAATTCAGAAGGGCTTTGTTTGTACAGTTGCTCGTTTATGCTAGACTCTTTGATTATCAATTTAAAAATGCAGGAATAGCGATCGCTGTTTCTAGAGGGAGTCTGTAACCGTTAGTTGCGTTTCCGCACTCAAAGGAACTCCGATAGAGGAAGAGCAATAAAACGTCGGCTTTTTATGAAATTGACTTCGAAATTCAGCTATTAGGAACAAGAAATCTGTTGACTGGTACTTATTATCGCAAAGAAATCGGGAATTGCCGTCGACTTTTATCCAGATGCTTAGTTTGCAGGTCTGTTACAAGGGCAACTCTTAACTTATTGTAATGTCAACGACTGATAAATTGGAATGATTATAGAAACCAAACCAATTGAGAATTTTTCTAATACGGCCAAAACTTAGTTAACGTACCTGCACGTTAATGAATATTTCAACCAAAGCTCATTGTGGTAAAATTGCAAAGATTGGAATATCGCACATAAATATAACCGAAAAAAGTAATTTATGGTGTTCTGCTGGATTCGTCGCTGTGTGATAGACACGGGGTGAAGTTACAGCGACTTTACTGTAAAAAGTGTGATTAATTCTAAGGCCTAAATAACAGTTATGTAGTTGCGAAGAAAAATTCTTTGATTAAGGAGAAAATTAGCACAGTAAATTGCTTGTAATGCCTAGTACTTTTAGAGGCAACATTGTGTTATGGAAGATCTTCTGGTTTGTAGAATTACTGACTCGTCTAGCAATAAGTATGCTAGCCTTAAGTACCGACAGCCTGACTTGTATCCCAGGGCTCGGTTTGGTGCCTGCGTTGGTACTGGGCGACCTACGCAGTATCTTTATCCCACGTGCAGCTGTTGGTAGTTGCGTGACAGCGAAGCGTTAGTACTGCGTACTGGGGTACTAAAAATGTCGTTATTAAATTAGCTATTGTGAATGTCTCCATGACATTGCGGAATCATTAACTGGGTACCCTATCGTTCAAAATCTATTCCGCGGATTACCCTTAAAATTTTTTGGTTTGCTGGTTCACGGAGAAGCAATCAAAATTAGTATTAGTCTTCTTTTGTACAACAAGTCTATGTTCTTGCGCAACCTACGGGAATTTGTTTCTTCGTAATTCTATTGTTTACATTCCTATTTTGCTGTCGCTGAAACCGCAACATCACATGAAAAAGCAGCTACTGTAATTAGTTTTACGTGAAGAGTATAAGGACAGAATTTACTCACATTTTATGGGGGCATTGGATTGCTGTCCGAGCTGGGTAGTTTGGCTGCAAACGTTTTGTCATCAAAAACGCAGCCATTGCTGCCAGTGTACCCAGTTCGAAAAGTAGCCCAATACCCTCTCCCGCCCTTCGATATACAAGTATTGTGTGGAATTTTCAAGCAATTTATTCTCCGTTAATATAGTGATCCTTCAAGAAATGTGAGAATTAAAGAAATGGAAAGTGCAATTCCATCCTTTTATAAAAATAAGACACGAATTGTAACGTTTTATTTTAGCTAGTTACATCGTTTGAAAAGACAAGCATAATAAATTGTTAGCTCAAGCGCCGTGAACTGTTCACACCGGTTTGTGAACATTCTGTTTTATGAAGTATTTTTAACCTACGTGTGTTTTTACACGCCATTAGCCGCATCAGAAGCCATGTGCCTCCATTTGGCTTTTGTCTTTCATGGGAGTGCATTCACCTCTTAGAATGGTTTAGATCTTTATTTCCACATTTTGTTAGTCCAAATGTTTGGTTCCTGCTGAATAATCGAACTACGAAGATACTCTGCTGCACCTATGGAATTGTTTATCCCTTATAAACACTAGCTAAGGGTAACTAGGTAGAAAATGTTCAGGAAACTGGTCATAGTGTGATTTTATAACAAGGCAGATTTCTGCCTTTTATAACAAGTATATTAACCATCAAACTATTATCTAACTCTCCTATACAGCCAGAAGATCAACCAAACACTACGGTATGGTTTTCATCGGTGTCTTGCTTCCCCAGTGACGCAGTTCTACCATATTGTTTATTATAACTAAAGTAGCTACATCTGCTTTTAGTTGGCTGTGAATGTCAACACATTAAGTAACAGCAAGCATTGTATTTCATTTTGTACATTCGGACACCTCATCATCATCATCGATGGCAAAACATCAGCCAGTTGGACTGATGCTTCGTTGTCGTGCAACCACGGTGACCAACGGAACGAAGAGCACTAAGAGGGAGAGAAGGGGCTTAGGATCAGCACACCATGAGCTCAAGGTTCCCATCCAGTGTAGGTAAATGGGTCGACGAGGTACACAAACCGTCACACCTCGTTAAGACCCAGTCTCGGTGCGACGGAATCCAGTGTCGTTGCGACCGACAGTGTAAATTCGGATTCATATATATCATCCGGGTTAAATTCAAAGAAAAATATAATGTGCCGTTACATCAAAAACGAAAAATCACTTGCATATGTGGAAGCTATGGTAGCAGGTCTTTTCACATACTTTTTTCGACTGACATACCGATCAGACTAATTCATAAACCGTTACCATCGTCGCGCTGGGTATTATTGATACTCGAGTCATTGCAGCATTACCAAATACTTTTTTATTACTCCCTTACTTACTTGGTGCTTATTTGTTTGCCGTGACAAGGTCCGTACAGCCAGAATACTTGCAACAGGAAACTGAATGGGGTTGCCAAACAGGTTTTAATTTAGTGGCTATTTTAGCCATAGCACTGCATAAGGTCCGCGAAAATCTTTTACGCTAATGCACAGCGATATGCTAGTATTAAGCTCTAGTCGCCAACTAGTGATCATAAATTATCTGATTACGTTGCGTCTCATCCTGAGACACTAGCAGCATCAGGACACAAATTGTGCATTTAGGTATTGCCACATTAATCAGTTCTGTGTTTATCTTGAGTATAAGAACCTGGATAAACTGAAAGGCCATATAGCTCATTCATCACTAAACTTTGTTTGAAATGCAACCTGATTCTATTGTCATTTGAGCGTTTTTCCCAGTTTAGTTGCGCGCCCAAGTAGGTGGTATGTACACAAATTAGCTGGCTAGAGCGATTATGTCTGAATTCAAGTTCAACTAAGAAAATAATATCCTCCAGAAAATGCAAAAAGTGTTTGGACGCTGTAGTACCATTACTTGCGTAAACGCCATACTTTTTCTCAACTACCCTGTTAATGTTGGAGGCGCTCTCAAAATCTCATCGCTTATGAGGTAAAAAAGCTTGATAAACTCCACTCAGTTAAACTTTATTATCCCCAAGAATCGAACGTAGGGCTTTTTTGGCAAACGAAATCATCACCTTCAAATGGAGGTATTGCTTAACGACCAGCAACCGAATAAACTCGCTTTGCAACGTTAAATTCGGGGTATTACACAAGTGATCGAATGTTTAGAACTGTTGTGTTCTTTACTAGTTCCGACTATAACTGTGTTTGTTATTATATGGGATGCAATAGATCACTTACTGCAAACGTTCTTTTTCCAAGCAACGTATTGCCAAGTCACGTTGGACAACACTGAGAACCTTATTTCTCTCCTCTTCGCTCAGATGACTCAAGTCCACTTGATTCAGAGCGTTCTGAAGGGAAGCTTCTCGTCCGTTGAAGTCGGATAATTTTCTACGACTGGGCAGCGCGTTTGTTGGCCTCAGCTGGTTAGGCGCTTGGTTGTGCAATTTAAGCGATGGGGGACGAACACCGGGAATCGTACCTCTTGATATTTCCGTATTTCTGCCATAATGCGGGCCATTGGCGACTTCTGAGATTGGTTCGGAAAAATGTAACACAATAATAACTTCACTAGATTTCTTTACAAATGTGCTAACATACTGCGTAAACAACTCGAGTTATTCTCGAAGGAAAGGAAAGTTGAAACATTGATTATTGTGCATTGTTTGCGAAAGCACACAGTAGTGGGAGCAAGCCGTGGTCTTCAATACATTGAGATGATCAGAGATGTATTCCAATCTGCAAAGTAATGGTACATACTTGAGTGCCCTTTCCGAGTGCTGTATAACATAGCGATAACCATCGGTGCTCAAAAAATGCTGTGATGTAATTCGCCTTTCAGTTTACTTTAATGAAACATTGTAACAACTTTTAAGTGCATCGTAGGGAATTGCCTTACAAGTAAGGTCAATCAATTGTATAACGCTGCGAAGATGTTTTGGACTAGCTGAGACTTTCATAGCATTTGCTACAGTGTGGTGGAAAGATTACACCAGATGTTAACAGTTTGGGGGAGAAACGTACATTAGGACTCGAAATGTTTGTCACACATGAGCTTCTTATAGCCTGCATATGTACACTGCTCTAGTTACTTAGTTGTGGATGACACTGCTGCGCCGAAGCGAATAAATATGTTGCCCAGACCACTCTGCTCCATTGAAGGTACGTTACCGCCAACTGACATTATGACTACACATAACAGCAGTGG